GGCGGCTATCAGTGATGAGGCGGCACCCGCCAAATAACCAATATATGAACCCCAAGTTAGATCTACAAACATAGACCCATAATATTCTCCAGGAGGGGTCATATAACTCTGTGACGGTGGCGGCGGCGACATCTGGTAAAGGAAAGGCAGTGGCGGCATCAGATATGGTTGCGGCATGTACGTCGTTATAGACGGTGGTTACTGTGAAGGTTCAGGTGATGCAGCTGACATCGAACCGGAAGCACCTGTTCTCCGTCTACGAGTCGGGGGACGATGAGGTTGTGACGGTGCACGTCTCTATCGACGTCGATGAATTCTCATTCCTCGTGCATCCTCGGAAAGCAGAAATGGTTTCTCGTTACTGTTGAACCACTCATAATAACCATCAGCAAACGTCAAATGATCAACATAAATGGGTTCCCTATAGGGAAGACGCCGATGTCGATCCTCCCATATAATGACCCACTAATAATGCTTCAACAACCAATCTGTATTCGTTTTACCGCGTCGATCTGTGCTATGCAATTGGTCCATATTACGAGGTACTTCCGGAATCGGTTGTACAAAACCAAATTTCCGGAGCACGCGATCAGTGGGGTGCCACTCCACAATCGTATAACAGATCAAAGGTACTACCGCCATCCAAACATCTAATGGGCCCCTCAACTCAGGTGGGATGCACATCCTCATATCATCATTAGAATAAGGTGCCCATTCAAACTAAAACAAATATATGTAATTCTTATCAAAATAATAATCTAAATATTATACTATGGTACAAAATCGATTTTCAAATATTAAAATACATACATCTGTGCCAGCCTTCTGATCGATTAGTAGTCTGATTATTTCTAATTCATCAGGTAGATCCCGATGATTTTTCCTGTCAATAGACCACCTATTCAAGGAATTTTTTTATTATACACTAGATAAAATGATTAATATATGAAATCAGTTTTGTAATTACCTCAATAGGAGCGGGAATACGAACGAGTTCTTCACAACAGGACATAAAAATGACAAGCGATACCTTGCCCAAGACTGCAGCAGAAGGAGATATCCGCCGATAGCATTTTTCCTGTAGTCAGTCGCTCGACACATCTCCATATACAGGAAAGCCAAAACTACCGAGCCCCAACTAAGTGATCCAGACAGATGAAAATCGTCAAGATGTCGCAACCACATACAGTGAACTTGGTTGCGTGATTTGTCCGGCATCAACAACCCTCCAATCAGCTGCAGTATGCATGCCCGTGCATACTTTTTAACTTCATCCTTTGAGGCGTCCTCACTCAAATTCTGCAAATTTGCATCTAACCAATTTAATGGTATCCGACCACCGTTAAAATTTCACGGGATACCTTCTAGATAATCCCGAGACAAAATAGTCCAATTATCATGCACCATCCCTAAAATCAAATATCCATCCACCGGAAGCCCAAGTGCATGAAAACATCCTCAAGAGTAATTGTGCACTCTCCGCATGGAAGATGGAATTTGTGAGTCTCTGACCTCCACCGCTCCACTAATTCAGAAATTAGGTTTTGTTCTATCCTACAATGCCTTTCATATCTAGCTATGTGACCGAATTCAGCCTTGACTAAATACGGCCAGACACGGTCGGGTATCGCTAACTTAAGGTTCCAAATAAAAAGATCTAATATACGGTCGCTTTCCTAAAAATATTAATAATTACCGTAAATTAATTTATAAACTAATAATCATGCATTAAATAAATAAATTATTACTAATAATTTAAATTAAATTAAAATATAAAAATGTTACCGTATCAACATAATGACGCGATATATGATTTCTATCCAAACGAAACAGACCGCCTTCTATTTTATAATTGCACAAAAAAAATTATTAAATAAAATATTAAAAATTTAAATAATTAAATAAAATACTAACAAAATATTAAATATAGTAAAATATACTTTAAAGAGTTATGAGAGAATATAAGAGTATTTGAGAGAAGTTGAGAGGATTTGATTTAATGAAAATGATTGAGAATGGAAGTATTTATAGGGAGGGAATGGGGGTGTGAACGGGCGGGTGGTTGCGAAATTAAAGCAAAGGCGCGGCCCATGCACCACGCCTTTCTGACGCGTGTCAGAATTAAAGCAAAGGCGCGACCCATGCACCGCGCTATACCCCTACGTGGTAGAAGGCGCGACCCATGCATCGCGCCTTATCCAACGTGTCGCCATGTCAACATAAGGCGCGATGTATAAGCCGCACATTCCTGCAAATGGTGTTAGATCGATAAATAAATATGAAAAGGTGTCTGACAGGTAAATAAAGTTAGTCAGATGATTTTTGGGAAAAATCACCTTATTTTTAACTCTTCAAAATTGACCCTTTTGAAAGGTTTTTGAACATTAGAAAAGTACCCAACTGCACTAATACAGGGACCTATGCAGTAATTTCACCGCACATGAAAGAATAAATCAGCTCACGCTTATCAATGGTCAACAGCTTTAAAGGCAAGGAGTAAATCAGCTAGCGTACCCCATCCCGTAGTGAATTAAATCCCAAACCGCTTGAGCACGTAACAGGGCGTGTTTAAGAAAACAAAAGGGTAAATTATGAATTTATCACTAAACTTTATTCTTTGTCCTATTTTTTCACTGAATTGTAAAAACTTTCTACTCATACATTAGATTTTTTTGGTTACTCTACAATTAAATAGTTAACGATGTCATTTTCAAAAACAAAATTTTCACTAAAATAATATCGTTTTACATCTATATAAAAGTCTATTTATAACATCGTTAGTGAGAAAACGTCTAAGTGACTAAAAAAACAAAATGTATCAAGTTCAGTGAAAAAATTAAAAATATATAAAGTATAATGAGTAAAATAAGAGAGAAAATAAAGTTTAATTACCAAATTTATAGTTTACCCAAGAAGAAAACGGTTTTATTTTATTTAAAGCTCTGTCATAGACCGACATAAAAGAAGAGTTTAGATTCTTCTTTCTTAAACTTTTGTTTTGCTTTTGATTTTCTCTGGAAACAAATACATCTTATCATTCTCCATTGTTTTCCAGATCCAAATATCAACACCAACTATTGTAGTTTTCAGGAGAATTTGAAAAGATGGAGTCATCTTCGACGAGTCAACCTGAGTTTGACTACTTGTTTAAGTTGTTATTGATTGGGGATTCGGGTGTGGGGAAGAGTACTCTGCTCTTGAGCTTCACTTCCGATACATTTGAGGAGCTCAATCCCACCATTGGTGACCTTTTTTCCCTTTGGTTAATTGTTTTATTAATATTGAAGAATGACTGATTAGGGTTTTGCTTCTTTTTTTCCTCTTTAGGTGTGGATTTTAAGGTGAAGCACGTTACTATTGGAGAGAAGAAGCTGAAGCTTGCCATTTGGGACACTGGTAAAACGTTGCCTGATCCTCTTTCTTTTTCCTGTTCCATTGTTTATTAGCAGTAGGAAGGAGGTAGAATTTTATTTTGAAATTATATTAGAAATTTAGTGGTACCATAAATTAGATCATCGATCGAAAATATAAAGAAAATGCACGTTTGAAATTTCGAATGTGCGACCGCCTCCATCCCTGATTAGCAGTGTAGTGGATACTTTTCTTTGATGATTAAGGTAGAAGATATCATTAGATATTGCGTGGGAAATATCAATCGTCATTGCTTTTATTTTGAGTTCTTAGAGCACATTTAAATGTATTATGTATTAGGTCATGATATTTGTAGAGTCGATTGTCTAGGTGTAAGTTCGCAACCGGTTTCCGTTATCTGTATCGACTTTAAAGTTATTATGAGTTATGTGGATGGAGTTCTTGTTCTCCTTCCATATCTGTAGAATTTGGTATTGATTATACATTTTGTTTGTCTTGTGTAAAATGAGCCGACGATTTGAATAAAGTAAATTGTTTTATAATTATTCATATCTTCGCTTTATGCAGCTGGACAAGAAAGATTTAGAACATTAACTAGTTCATACTACAGAGGAGCGCAAGGGATAATCATGGGTATGGACTTCATTCGTTTCTTGTTTGCGGCTACATTTGTTCGTCAATTGTTATGATTTGCATCTGTATCGTTAGAAAACAGTACACATATCGATCCATGAGATCTTGTGATAATAATGATTCACATCATCCATGAAGTTTTTTTTTTCCTTCTTTCATTGCTTACATAGGTTTCCCTTCAACTAAGGTAGACTCCTTGTTTGTGTGCATTTAAATACTCAGCTGGTTTATTTATAAACTGTATTATGTTTGTACTGTTACAGTGTATGATGTGACACGTCGAGACACATTTACGAATCTGTCCGACATATGGGCTAAAGAAATCGATCTATACTCGACAAATCAGGACTGCATCAAGATGCTTGTTGGCAATAAAGTCGATAAGGTGAGGTTTAAAGAGTGGTTATGTCCCTTATTTTCACCAGGGTTGTTTGTGTTATGCTGGTTCTTGACTGCTGTCTTTAATGATTTTGACATTCGATCACTTGTTTAAGAGAAGATGATTTTGCCTTTTGATTGTTAACTCCATCTACACCTTCATGTATACAGGAAAGTGAAAGAGTGGTAAGCAAAAAAGAGGGCATTGACTTTGCTCAGAAATACGGATGCCTTTTCCTCGAGTGCAGTGCGAAGACACGAGTCAATGTGGAACAATGCTTTGAGGAGCTTGTCTTAAAGGTAATTCACTTATGCTGTTTCGAGATATAACTTAAACATCGACCGGCATTTACAAGCATGCTATATGTCATGCTTAGGTTAGTTCATTTAACATTGTTAGGGACTATGTTTTGATTGCAGATATTGGATACACCAAGTCTCGTGGCCGAGGGATCATCTGGAGTGAAAAAGAACATCTTCAAACAAAATCCTTCGGAAACTGGTGCCGTGACCAGTGGCTGTTGCTCATGGTGATTTTATCGTTGAACTTGTCCCATTCTCTATAGGTTGGCGTTTAATTTTCTTTTACAGCTTTACACCTGTTTACTTTAGCTTGTTCATGCGGTGTCGTCGACAATGTCATGTACATTAATCCTGAATTTCCAACATTGAATAAGATCATGTTGTTGCTTATGTCTCGCCACTTGCTGAAAAACCTGAAGCATCCCTTTATGTTTGCATTGCCGTGTTTTCCTCCGAACAGGAGGCTTAGAGGTGGCGTTCAGGCTGCCACTTGAGATGGAATGGAGAAAAGATGTTATATTAAAAGTGATAAAAATGAATTTCAAATAGAATTTTGAGAGTGATGGATTTGTTCAAATTGCAAATTCTCTCTTTTTGAGGGTAAACTAATTAAAGCCTTAAGATCTTCTTTCTTGTCTTGTCCACCACACCTCCCTGCTTTTCTCTCAAGTCACGGCGACGTGGACGGTGGAATGCCGGCGGGCACCTACTTTGAGCTTTTTTTTATAGCTGAAACTATCTAATAATACCAGACAACAAGTAGGAAAGAAACCTGATGGACCCTTTTGTGGAGGTGGCTGCCTCCTCCTCCTCCTCCCTTTCTCTGCCACATCGGGATGCCGATGTTGAGGCTCTTTCTGCAACAACGTAGGCTAACCCACCGCAGCATCCATTTGTTAGGACCTTAAAACGTAATTAAACTTCCTAAAACTTAATTAAATCATAAAAATTAAGAGATAAAGGTCTTAAGAACTAATTAAATCATATATATATATATATATTTGTGGTAAAGACTTAATTCTATTAATTTAGAAACTAACAATATTCTCAAAAACAATAATACCACAAAATTTTGGTAGGGACAATAACTGAATTATAATGGTTTTAAAATTACTGGTAACCTAAAATATAATTATACCATCAAAGTTTAAAAGAGAAATTGCCCTTTCTACACACATCCGTCCCTGTTCTCAAGCACAACATTTTGATATAGAGTTTCTAGTTCTTACCTCTCTTTCATCATTTTCATGTTCTTTTTTGTTCGATATTTCTAGTTCAATAAATACATCAAGTTAGTTTGTTGTTATGCATCCTCCTCCTATTTCTCAAAGGTCTTCTAGAGTCTCTTGACCTCCCAATTGACTACATAACTATGTTTGTTCTTACAAATCCAATTCCTCCCTTCCAGGTTCGTATCTCATTTCTCATTACATTTCTTACTCTCATTTACCTCATACTACACAAAATTTTCTTTTTTCTTATACTACATTTATTGAACCTCAAACTTATGTTGAAGCTAGCAAAAACTTTACGTTCAAACTATGAAAGGGGAGATTCGAGCTTCAGAAGACAATAACACTTGTCTTTAATTTCTTTACCTCCGGGTGAAGTTCCTATTGACTGTAACCGAGTCTATAAGATCAAGTATAAAGCCCCTAACGAAATTGAGAGGTTTAAGGCTCGTTTGGTTGCTAAAAGCTATAATTAGCAGGAAGATGTTGATTGTACTGAAACTTTTTCTCTTGTAATTAAGTTAGTGGCTGTGAGAACTATCCTTACTCTTGTGACTGTTTTTGATCTGTCTATCTATCAGATGAATGTTTACATGTCTTTTTATAAGGTGATTTAGTTGAATAGGTATAAATATAATTTTTTTCGAAGTTTTGTAATTAGAGAGAGAATCTCGTATGCAGGTTGCAAAAAAAATCAATTTATGGACTAAAACAAGCTTCTAGACAGTGACCATGAAGTTGACAGAAGCTTTATTAGATACAAAGTAAAAGTGATTATTCGATGTTCACCAAAAAGCTCGGAGATAAATAAGTGGTTATGTTGATGATAGGGAAGCGGTGGCGGATTAATTAAAGTTGCTCTTGTTGAAGAATCAGGCCTAGAAAGTTCTAGACTCGATGAAGAACAAAGGGGAATGTGGCGGTAACAATTAGGATTTTTTAGGATTTCTTTTAGGTGTTGGAATCAAGGTAAAAAGGTTATAACAAAATAAACAAAAGATAAAGAAATTGATAAGATAATAAAGAAATCAAAAGACCTCCCTTATGAAGGTGGATGGTAAAGATGATTGATGGTGCGGATGGATTTGTGGAAAATAGATAGATAAGTGTCCTATCGAACCCTCCTAGTCGCAATGAAAAGGCAAACTCGATAAATGACTCTAACCAACCCTCCTAGTCGCGATGAAAAGGCAAATTGGAGTGTGAAGATTAATCTCCCTCACAAGAACTTGAAAGAACCCCAGGAGAAAAAGCTTTGAAGGCACAAGGCAATCAACACTTGCAAAAAACGAACTCTCGTTGTATTATTAATCAAAGAAATCTGTTTTACAAAGTTGAATGAAGCCTCCTTTATATAGGGGTTGAGTTCTAAAGGTCCTAAATAACTAATTAATAAAATAATAACAAACTAAACATATCTTAACTCTAATTCCTAATAAAATAATAATAACTAAAAATAATATTTTAATTCAACTTTAATTCCTAATAAAATAATAAATATAATCCTAAAAAATAATGCATCATACTATATTAGATTATATTACAAATAATCAATATAAATATTAAAAATTTGTAATATTTACAAAATCACGTATTAATCTCGTATAAGAATTTCTGCATGTGATGTCTTCACTAAAATGAATATATCTTGAGTTCCCAATATCGGATTGATGCGATTCAAGAACCGTTGGAAAGCTAAGAGACAGATGGTTGTATATCCAGAATACATCTTGATCAAATAAGATCAAGATCCCATTCAAAAAGTCGTCGCAAATCTGTTGCTGTTCTGATCTTCTTTTCCAAGGCTTAGACTAGTGGATCATTTGGAAGAGGTATTACTTCTTCCTTTGATGTGAGCATTGCAATGCATGTATCATCCTCCATTTATTCAAAAAGATTTGACCTCGAATCTGAATTATTAAAGGGAGCAATATTAGAATCATTTAATGATTCATTCACATTAAGCTTACCGAATATATATGCTTTGAATCTTCGAGACTTTGTTCTTCTAATAGGTTCGAGTAGAAACATTAGTCAAAAGAAGCATGTATTATGGACTCTGGTGCATGTATCATTCTCCCACTCCTCAAAAGTATTCGTCCTCAAATCTCGGTCTTTAGACTCTCGTAAATCGTGACTCTTCATTGATATGACATAGTCATTAGGGCTTTCAGGTGGTAACCCGTCAGGAGGGTCACCTAGCACTATTCAACAACTCTTGGTGATGGAAGATGGTGTGGGCCAGTTGTCGCAACCGTCTTTCGGTTGGGCCCCGGAATTGGGCTTCGACTTGAAAAATGTGGATTGGAGTCGCCACCGATCATTTATTTAAAAATAAATGGGTTGATCGGATACCCTATTTCTTACCTGATCTGCGTCTTACTAGAAATATGTCGGGCTCGGGAGTCGGTTACGGTCAAGGAAGGATTAGCACTCTTGAACCGCCATTTCGGTACTACGTAATTTCCAGTTGTCTTAATTAAGAAAATTGTAATTTTAAATTAAAAGGTAAAATTTGATCATGAATTACTTACCTCTGATTAATTGACGAAAATACCCTTAAAAGTCATAAGATGTGTTAGAGGGAAAAATGAATAAATGAAAAAAAAATAAAGAATAAAAATAAGTAAAAATAAATAAAAATAAAAGGCAAAATAAATAAATAAATAAATGAAATATTAATATATATATATATAAATGAGTAAAATAGAAAAATAATAATCATAACAATAATGATAGTAATATGAAAATATAATATAATATAAACAAATAAAAAAAAACAAAAACAAAAACAAATAAATAAATATATAAATCAAATATAAAAGTATACATATAATGATAATTGGCTTATAAATAAACTATTAAAACATACATATATACATATAATGATAAAGTAAAAAAAAAAACTAAATAAAGATAATTACAATATATATATATATGGTAATAATACGCTTATAAGTAAAATATTTAAAAAAAGTATATATATATATATATATATATATATATATATATATATAATAATATCTAAAAAATATATGTATATATAATAATAATATATAGTGTAAAAAATATCAATTGAAAATCATTTAAAAAAACATACATATATATATATTTATATAATGACAATAATATAAATAATAAATAAATAAAAATATCCATACAATAAATAAAATGACTAATATAAAGAAAAATAAAGATTGGGGCCAAATTTGAAAGACAATTAACGTTGATATTGCGCATTAGGGGGATAAAAAATGAACACGCCTCAGGATAGATCTAGGTTCGAAACTTCGAAACCCCACCCATTTTTGGTCATCGGCGCAACCCACGTTTTGGGTTATTCGAACCAAATCTCAAGAAAAATAACATGCACATGCGAGAAATGAACGAATAAAAAAAAATGCTACCTTTTATTTCCTTTTCGAATCGTTTACAATAGCTTTGCCTTTGTATTTTCTGTGCTTTCCTCTGTATTTTGTCTGTAAATCGTGTGTTACAATAGTGAGTTACAATGGCTATTTATAGTGCTTGTGGATCCTATCTTTAGGAGTTTAAATCATAGTAGAACTCTATCCTATTTTTAGGAGTTTTAATCCTAGCAAAATTCTATCCTATTTTTAAGAGTTTGAATCCTAGTAGGACTAAAAGGTTTGTTGACAACTGCCCCTCTTTGCCCATAGTCGTGTAACGAGGATAGAGAAAAGATTAAAAGACACACTTTTCGTTCGGTGGAGTTGAAAATTAACTCTGATGTTTCAATAACTCCCTGCCGAATTGAGTTACGGATGACTCCTCCGTCGTGAAGCCGAGTTCATCTTGAAATGATATTAAATTGAAGCCGTAGTTCAAAATTTGAATCAGCACGTGGCTTCTCGTTGCCCTTCGATCTTCTTCTCGGTTTAAAGACTTTGGATCGGATTTGAACTCAGAAATCTTCATTGACATATATCTTTTGCTTGAAAATGGTTGCTTGTCACCAAAGCACGGCATTTGATGCTCAAAGGTTTGGCATTTGATGCTCAAAGGTTTGGTATTTGATGCTCAAAGGATTGATGGGGTAGCTTGCATGCTCCTCTGCTGGAAGTGTTCTCTGACTCCCAATCTTCGTTGTCACACTCGGATTGTGCGATGCCTCATCAAGGAATTTGCGTGATCGCCTCGGTTTACACAATTTTTATATTCGAGCCGCCTTTTCAGGTTTTCAACTCGAACCCTCCTTTGGTTTCAAGGTGTTATTCAGGATTTACGTCTTGAACCCCCCTTTGTTATTTTTCTCTACCATGCATTAATTACATTGTTTTTTACAAATAAAGATTAATCCTGATGGGCGGGACGAAATCTGAAGATAGTCTCTTCTGTTTAGAAATACATGTATGATTAGAAGGGACTTTTAAGGCACGTAATGTAGGCCAGAGTTCATGGTTATGAAAGAAAAGGATAAATAGGCCCAAACAAGTGTTTCAGGGTGTTGAACCAAGGATCAATTCGTTCTGATGCTCAATTTGAGTCTGCTCGTATGTCTCTTTCCCTTGATGCTCTATGATCTTCGAGTGAAGTGATTCAGTGATTCGGGAATGATTGTGCTTGATCAATCTCATAGTTTGAAGCTTGATGTGCCATTTATC